GGTTCCAGACCCGCCCGGGCAACTTGGCGAGACCTCATCTCTACAATAAGTCAAAAAATCAGCCGGGCGTGGTAGCGCGCGCCTGTCGTTCCAGCTACCTGGAAGGCTGAGGCGGAAGGATCGCCGGAGCCCAGCAGGTCGAGGCTGTGGTGGCCGGGAGCGGCCACTGCACTCCAGTCTGGGCGACAGAGTGAGACTCCAACTCAAAAAAATAAAAAAATAAATAAAGCCTACAGTTTAGTCATTTTTACTATGTTCAGAGTTGTACAACCATCATCTCTACCTAATTCCACAACATTTCATGACCCCAAGAAGAAACCCCTTCTCATTTGCAGTCATTCCGAACCCTCCCCTCTCCCAGCCCTTGGCAACACTGATCTTTTTATCTCTGTGCATTTGCCAATTCTGGACACTTCATGTAAAGACCTTTACAATATGTGGTCTCTGTGACTGGCTTTCACTCTGCATCATGTCCTCAAGCTTCATCTATGTTGTAGCATGTGTCAGAATTTCCCTCCTTTTTAAGGACGAATAATATTCCATTGTCTGGATAAACCGTGTTTTGTTTACCCATTCATCTGCAGAGGGACACTCGAGTCGCCCACCATTTGCTTTTGAAGGTGGCTGTCTGACTAGAGCTCTCTGAGCACGGGATTGTGTGCTGTCCCGCCCCCATAAGCCCAGTTTCCAGACCGGGCCTGGCACAAGCCTGGTCCAGGCTCTGAGAGGATTTATTAGACTAAACTAGATGTTGGGTCATGTGGGGGACAGGGTTTTTCCATCCTGTGGGTAAGTGACCCTTGGCTGCCCTCGTCTGCTCTCTGGGAGGTCGGCATGAGGCTCGGTCATCTTCATGGTGGCTCATGTTTATCTCCTCCCAGGGAGGGAGGCATGCCAGCTGCTCCTTCTCGCCTCATACCCCTGGGGGAGCCCCTAGCGGGGGAAGCCCTGCTGTCTTGGGGGCAGTGCTGTTGGCCAATGAGATAGCCAAAGGCACCATGGTGGAAGCCTGGGTTTGGGAATTAAACTTGTCCAAGGAAGGCAGGATTTGACCCCGTGGCCCAGTCTGGTGGGTACAGAAAGACTTGGTGTTTCCCCATGGAAGAACTGGGCAAAAAGATTGGCTGTGAGCAGGCTACCCAGGCTGTGGGCTGCTTCATTTTCATTGTGGGAACATGGCAGTCGGCGACCAGCAGGGGCAGCCTCTTGCTTATTCTCAGGCCAGTGTTGGATGCACCCTTTGGGGCTTTAGCCAAGGGACAGGAGTGACAAGGTGACATATACAGCTTCTGCCATGGCCTGGAGTCAGAGTCTTCAATGGACACAGCTCTTACCTGGTATTTTCCTTGGGGTCAGGTAAGTGGAGACCACCTAGGGCAGGGCTTGAGAACCCACCAAGGCATTGCTGGGATCCCCAACCAGGGCATTTTAGCTTCCCATTCTGGGCAGAGCTGTGCCTGGGGTAGACTTTGCCAATTAGCAGGAGATGAGGAAATAGTTTCCAAGCCTGGTTCCTTTGCCAGTTGTTTCTGCCCTTTTTAGAATCTAAAGGAGAGACCCTGGAGGAAGGTTGGAATTGACTTTGGAGTCCTTGGTTCCCAGAGTTTGGGCTCAGGTGTGACTTGTCTGGCAGATTTTGGAGCCAGCCCTTAGTTCCAGACACCTGATGCTGGCCCCTTCTGGGGAGGCCAAGCTGCGATCTTTCAGGCGTAGGGGAAGGGTCTGGGCTTTCTGGGGACATGGCATGTACCACCTGGCAGGCTCCTGGAGCAGCCACAGGGCTTCCAAGTGTGCTGGCACCTGAGGGTTGACAATGGAGAGCATCAGCGACCCCAGTCTCAGTGTCACTATCGTGCTTTTCTTAATTTCCAGTCCATTTTCGCTATGTGGTGTTCCACCCGTTCCTGGATGAAATTCTGATTGGGAAGATCAAAGGCTGCAGCCCAGAGGGAGTGCATGGTAACAGCGGCCCTGACCCCTCAGCTGGGACCTGGGAGGGTGCTGGGGGCAGGTGGTCTGTGTCCATCCACATGGTCAGGGAGGACTCAGGCGTCGAGGCCGAATCCTCCCCATGGCTTCAGAAGACTGCTGAGGGGAGTCCTGCCTGCTCTCACTGTCATGGATGGAGGATCTCAGTCAGCCGTGAGCTTTCACTGTGAAACCATGGCTCGACTTCGGGGTGGGCAGAGAAGCTGGTGGAAGTAACCAGGGGTCCTCAGTGCCGACCTTGGGTCTGGGGACCAGCTGCTTGGGGCTTTGCCCAGGAGTACTCAGGCTGTGTGGGTGACGGAGGCAGCGGCATTAGGCCCCAAGGTGGCGAAAGGGCCCAGATTTCCATGGCGACACTTGCCCCACAGGCAGCACGGGTAGGGGAACTGCCTGTTAAGTATCCAGATCTTCACTGCTGGATTGTCCACTGGGAGCCCCTGCCTTGTGCCGTCACCTTTTTCATTTTTCCCAGTCTCTCTAGGGTTCTTCGATGACATTCTCATCCCTCCAGAGTCACTGCAGCAGCCAGCCAAGTTGTATCCTCCCAGAGGTTAAAGTGAGTCACAGAGGAGCTCAGGCCTCTCCAAAGGAAGGTCCCCACTCCTTGGGTGGCCCTTGGGTCCTGTGATCTGATGCCACTGGTCTCTCTGTCTGCCCCTCCAGCCTGCACTTTTGCTCTGGAAGCACTGGCCTGCCTGTACCTCCCACACTGACTGTGACGTCCACATGCCTGTCTCTGTCTGGGCTGTCGGGCTGGGTTGTGTAGGTTGTACCTGTACACCTGTAGGGCTGATGGTGTCTGATGGTATCCTTTGGGGCACCATTCACTGTTTACGGTGTCCCTGCAGGCATCATCTCAAAGATCACTTCTCACAGGGGGTTTGCTGTAGCTGGCCCACCTGGAATGGGGCGTTGCCGGTGTGCCAGGTCATGGGCTTAGTTTCCCTCTCTTAGGCCTCCACTGTCTCAGTTCAGCCCTTATTTTGCCACACTGGGGTTGTCTGTTTCTGTGGGGCTGTCTACTCATTGAGACTCCTCACTGGGATAGACTCTGTCCAGTCACAACTGTATTTACAGTGTCCAGCATGGGACCTGGCACAAAGGCAGGACCCAGTGGGCAGTGTGGCTCCTCGGGCTCTCTGGAGGGAGATGCCGAGAGGGCTTTCCTGGCTGGATGGCCTGGCATGCTGGCTGAGCCTTTGTCGCCAGGGGGCAGGGTCTGTATGCAACTCTGGAATGTGTCAGAAAACCTGGCCCAGCCTGGGTGATCCTCTCACCAGCTGTGGGCCCTCGGGCAGGTAATCTCCCATTCCACCATGTCCTCTTGAAAACTGGGCAAGTCCTTGAGGACCTGCGCATCAGATGGTCCCAAGGTTTGGATGAGGAGGGATGTGGGCACTTCAAGCAGCAAGAGGCCCAGGTGGCTCTCGTTTTGAGAGGTGAGACTTCCACTCTGCCTCGCATCCTTCCTGTTTGGGCTCTCTGAGGATACATGTGTGCCTCTGGCCGTGCACTGCTGGGTCCTGGACCTGGAAGCTCTTGCCCCTAACTGTGAGGCGCAGGTCTCTGAGACTTGCAGCCAAAGTGACCCCAACCTGGGATTGGCTTCTCCTGGGGGTGAGTGCTGTGGGAAGACCTCCGACCCCCTTGCTCAGGGGCTCTCCCATGGCCTGGTTGTTGCCTTGACCCTGGGTGCCCCCAGCGATGAAGCAGAGCAGGTGTGGGTGTGGGAGTATGAGACGGAGGAAGGAGCCCATGACCTGTACATGGACACTGGTGAAGAAATCCGCTTCCGGGTGGTGGACGAGAGCTTTGTGGACACGTCCCCCACAGGGCCCAGCTCAGCCGGAGCCACCTCTTCCAGCGAGGAGCTGCCAAAGAAGGAGGCTCCGTACACGCTTGTGGTGAGAGGTCCTGTGGCGCGGAACCCATTCTTTGGCGGGCGAGTATAGGAATGCAGTGGCGGCAGCTATTTCCTCGGGGCTGTGCCCCCAGAACCTCCTCCCTAGCAGGTCTTGGCTAGTCATTTCTCCTTGGAGAGGCTGTTTCTGTAGGCTGGGGCCGTGAGGTGGGAGAGTCAGACCCCTGCTAGTGGGAGGGACAGCCCACAGTGGACAAGGTCACTGGCAAAGAGACTCAAGGGAGAAAGGAACCAAGGAAGGGGCTTGGCAGAGATCAAAGCCCTGAGATTAAGGGTAGGGCTCCAAGAGAGACAGGGTCACTCCCCTCCGGATGTATTTGGAGGCTGGGCCTCATGGTTGCTTGGCCTTTCTGGTCAGACTAGAGCACAAGTGGCTCAGGAGGGCGTGCCTGAAACTGGCCTGCTGAACACTTGTGTTTGGGCAGACCTGGGGGTAATAAAGGGTACCTGATGCCACGAGGCCTTGAGGCCAGTAAACCTGTGCTTGCAGCAGAGAGGTCTGTGCCCTGCATTCTGTAATGTGCCAGCTTGGAGCTCTGCTGTAATTCCTGGACTTCCTTGAAGCTTCTGGGCTGTGGTGTGCCTGCCTACCCTTTGCCTAAGCTGTGCCTGCTGGGCACTGAGGAGGGTGGGCCTGTTTACCTCTGGTCCAAGTTGGCTCAGCCGTGTTGATGAAACATAACTGTTCTTTCTCTTCCCTGGCAGGGATCCATCAGTGAGCCGGGCTTGGGCCTTCTCTCCTGGTGGACCAGCAACTAGCCCTGGGGCTCGACAGTGGAGCTTGCCAGTTGGCAGACCCTATCCCAACCCTCGGGAAGGGGGTGCAGCCGGCTGTGAAGACAACAGCAGCGGAGGCCAAAGTTGAGGGGCGTGCCTCAGGCATTAGGGTGGAGGTGCTGGGAGAGCCCATCTTGCGCACCCCCCCATTGCTGGCCCTGCTCCTTCAACCAGAGCTACTGCTGAAGCCCTGCTGTCCCCGGGGACTTCTGGCTTTCAGTGATAGGAAGGACACTGAATAAATGTCAGCATCAGTAGGGAAGGGACCACTCAGCAGTCCCAAGTCATGATCTGAGATCGCTGAGTTGATGCAGCTGTGACAGCACATCCTTCTTCATCCCCAATCACTTGTAGAGATGATCTCCTCCACCCCCCAAAATGGCAGGACTTGGGGGTTGTGAGAGATCCAGGTGGCTCCGGACTGGTTGAGCTTGGTGGCTCCATAAAGTGACACAGGGCGTGAGGTGGCTGCTTTGGGCTCTGGAAGCTGCCAGTAGTTAGTTAAGTGTGAATGTTTTGTTTTTTGGTTTTTTTTTTGAGTTGGAGTCTCACTCAGTCACCCAGATTGGAGTGCAGTGGCCGCTCCCGGCCACCGCAGCCTCGACCTACTGGGCTCCAGCAATCCTTCCGCCTTAGCCTTCCGAGTAGCCGGAACTACAGGCATGCGCTACCACGCCTGGCTGATTTTTTGATTTATTGTAGAGATGAGGTCTCGCTGCCCAGGCGGGTCTCGAACACGCGGGCTCAGGCAATCCACTCACCTCAGCCTCCCAAAGGTGCGGAATTACAGGCTGAGCCACCGAGCCCGGCTAAGTGTGAGTGTTAATAGACAGCCACTGTCCCACCAGTTTTTTTATTTCCCTTTTTTTTTCTTTGAGTTGGAGTCTCACTCTGTTGCCCAGGCTGGAGGGGGTGGCACACTCAGGGCCACCGCAGCCTTGACCTACTGGGCTCAGGTGATCCTTTCATCTCAGCCTTCCAAGTAGCTGGAACCACAGGCATGTGTCACCACACCCGGCTAATTTTTAAAAATTTATTGTAGAGACGAGGTCTCGCCATGTTGCTCAGGCTGGTCTCAAACCTCTGAGCTCAGGCAACCCTTTTGCCTCAGACTTTTGTTTTTTTTTTTAGTTGGAGTCTCAACGCTTTTGCCCAGGCTGGAGCTCAGTGGCACGCACACAGCCACTGCAGCCTCAACCTGCTGGGCTCAGACAATCCTTCAGCCTCAGCCTTCCAAGTAGCTGGAACAACAGGCATGTGCCACCGCGCCCCACTAATTTTTTTATTTATTGTAGAGACGAGGTCTTGCCAAGTTGTCCAGACTGGTCTCGAACCTGTGGGCTCAGGCAATCCTCTCACCTCAACCTTCTAAAGTGCTGGGATTATAGGCAGGAGCCATCGCGTCTGGCCTTTTTTTTTTTTTTTGAGTTGGAGTCTCACTCTGTCGCCCAGGCTGGAGGGCG